GCCACAGAATTTTTATTTTGAAATTCCCGGTTTTTTCCCGGTTAAAACATTTATATTTTCCCGGTTTGCCTCAAACAAAATAAAATGAAAATAACTAAGCAAGTTTTCGACAATTTTCATCAACAAAAACAGAAAACCAAACTCATAGCTGAATCCAGATGAAGATACAAAAATAATAGGAAAATATGTTTATGTTCCATACAAAATGGTCGAATCAGTTTATATTTAAAAAGAAACCTTAATATTACACTTTACTTTCTCAGCTCTTTTAGTTTAACGTCCAAAGCAGCAGCCTCTTTCTCTGCGTCTGCCAAAAGTTTGGCCTTTTTCATTTCCAACTCTTTTATTGCTTTGTCCGCTTCCCTCTTTCGGCTAGCTTCTTTATCGCTTGCAATCCCCTCAGCTCACTTTGCATCCAAAAATTCCTGGTACCGACCTCGGGCGTTTCAACAGGCGTTGTGCTACCAGGCTTTCCTCGGATTGATTTACCACCAGGCACTCCTTGTTGACGGAAAATCCGCGCTTCTGGGCTGCATTTCCGTGAGATATTATCAATATCTTCTTGACAAACGATGCCAAATTCGGAAGCTGTTTTCCAGAATCAGCAATTGCCTTCAACCAGAAATGATCGACCCGTGTCTCCTGTCTGCGATATCATGAAGCAATTAACTTGAAGAAGGCCATCGTGCAAATTTGCGAATATTCATCCTTCACCTTGTCCGCAACAGCTCCAGCCAAATGATCTTTCTCCACCATATGTTCCAAACAAAACTCAAGTCGTTTCTTGGCTACATCTGGGGAGTTTGAAATGACAGATGGACTTAAACAAGAAATATACCTTGTTAGAGCATATCGAAGTGGCGAACGGTCGAGGAGTTTCGTCAAAAATGCAACATAATAGTTTTTGCAGTCGTTGCGAAACACCAAGAGTTGTTGTTCAGACAATTTTCCACGGATTCCTTCCGCTTTGATAGCCGCTTTTACAGCAAATCCCACGTCTACTTCAGCTGATGTAAGAAGGTTGTCCTGATTTAAGTCAATCTCCGTTAGCGCTTTAGGTTTCTTTTTAAGGCGGTCTGGCTTCACCACTCTCTGCATCGCATTTTGAACTAGGCTTGTTAGTTCATCGTACAAAAAGGAAGCAAGTGGTTCTTCTTCTTATTCGCATTTCAAGCTTATTGCTTAGTGCATATTAGCTTATTGCGTGCTCTCAACTTAGTGTTCTAAATGCACTTCCACAGTTATTAATTGAGAGTTTTCGATGCCAATACCAATTGCATGAATTTGTATATTGTGTCACAATGGTACTCTATGCCCAGGGAAGTCGAGAAAATTTCCAACCCGAAAGATTCCCTCGACCGGACCGATAATCGAACCCGCCGCCTCCGGCTTGGTAATACCAACAATCAATACGAAACTAACGATTTTAAATTGGCTCACTACTTGACTAGCCTATTGGTCCCAAGCAAATCGACTAACGTACCCCATTATAGTATAAATTCAAGTACTACACTAAGTTTGTTTTGATTCGCTATGAAAGTTTGACAGATAAATTGAGGGGTTAGTGGATTTTCCTATGTTTCGAGGGGTGAATCGATTAGCTTGGGACCGAAGATAGTACCAGAGCTGAGCCAAAAAGTTGAGCTCGTTTCTTCGGGACCTTCTGGTCTTAGAGTTACCTCTATGGTAATACCATAGAGGTAACTCTAAGACTAGTAGGTCCCGAAGAAAATCATTATTATTTTTGGCTCACTCAGTACCAGAACAACGGTCCCAAGCAGTCCCAAGCTATTTCACTCACCCCTGCATGTTCTGCATGAATCCACACACCCCTGATGTTATCTGTCAAACTTTCATAGCGAATCAAAACAAACATAGTGTAGTAATAGAATTTCAACTAGAATAGGGTACGTTAATCGTTTGCTTGGGACCAATAGGCTACTAAAGTGGTGAGCCAATTTAAAATCGTTAGTTTCGTATTGATTGTTGGTAATACCGTGCCTTTACTGACTAGGCTATGAGGCCCCTTGAAGGGAGCAAGTGGTGCATCACCCTGAAATTCTTTCAAAAATGGTTCCACATTTGCCGCTGCAGCTACAAAAAAGCTCAATTTAGGTCCAAAGAGCTGATCCGATACCGTTTGGGACACCACTGAAAACGCGTTGGAGCTTAAACCGCCTTAAAGCTTGTCCTGAAATCGGGATGACTTTCTTTTCGTTTTGACTCTTGTTGAAATTTTACTGCCTTCACATATGTTCGCAGATGAGGAAGCATATCTAGAGCTCGTTCTGCTACTCGCTGGTTTTCCACCCACCTGACTCCGCAAAATTTGAGCGGCAATATGGTGCTACCAGTAACTGCTATAAAGTCAGCACGTCTTAGGGGAACATCTTTTAGCAGGTAGTACAACGACATCAGAAACTAATCGATCTTCCAGTCCGTTTTCTGCATAACGCTCTTGAACGAATTATGGACTACATGAAGACCGCTGCCAATGCTGAGTAAACTGAAGGAACTGCTCTCACGCATCTCTTGCAATTCGGAGGACAGATCGTTAAGGAGTCGCCAGTTCACGTTGGGTCCATCCATAGACACCTGAATAACTTTTTTCAACAGTCCGGGATATGCTTCGAAACACTTCTTGATCCCACTCATCAAGTCAATCGCTCGTGTCGATGATAGGAAAGCTGAGCCTACATATCTTGTCTGTACTTCCTGCTTGTCTTCATCCCAAAAATGAATGCTTACATCAAGTTGCTGCCGTTGTGCAATTTTGTTCAGTGTTTCGTCGAATCCAAAGACGACCTCGGAGCAACTTTCAACTTTGGTCAGTAAGATCTTCTTGAAGTAAGGTGCCAGACCGTGTGTGATGAAATAACCAACTTTGGTGCGGCTCATCTCCATCTTCGAAGCAATTTGGCTGTCAGGAAACATCTTCTGGAACAGAGCAACACTGGTACCTGCACTACGGTATGAACCATGGGTGGCCACAGTTTCAAGTGCCCATAAAATTTCAGCGGACGTCACCGAATCGTTTAAAAAATACTTTTTCATGACAGCCTGATTGGCGCCTACTGCCACTTCAGATGATGTTGAAGCATTTGTCTGAATTGAATCGACCAAGGTAGTTGTACTCACCTTGGGATCGACAGTCAAACTTGAAGTTGAAGATATGATTTTATCATTTGTTGAACGATCTGAAATTTGAGATAGAAGATCAGTATTTAATTCATAGAATTCTTGTATTAAAGTCTCAGCACATGATGAACTTGATTCGATAGCAACCAAAACAATAATCGAAGCTTCGTTGCAAGTTTCAGTGCATTGTGGTATAATCAAGCGTGTTATTTCGGAGCTTACCATTCGTTCCAAATAAGCTGCTGATCGGCAAATTTGAGCGACGTGCTGCAGCCTGATGCTGATGGCCTTTGCTTTTTTCATGACTCTCAAAGGCCACCCTTCCCATCGTATCAATTTTGAATGATTTATTGCACCAGGTGCATCGAGCAGCAGTCGGTACTTTGGGCGCGCTCCATGGATAATCCTTCTCATACCTCATCGAATATTTTGTAGTCATGGTTATTTGCTCCAACTTTCTCAAATTTCACTACTCTTATTTGATAGTTTTACACTTATAAACACAGATGGAAAACGCGTCTCACTTTTTTCAATGCAAATGCGGTTTTTAACAGGCCAATGCTCGCGAAATGAATGAAAAAAACACGAAGCTTTTTCATTGACGAAGGTTGATAGCTCGTCGTCGGGTCGGTACGTTTCAGAACATACCAATACATGCGAAGAGCCGAACGTGAGGTGAACGAAAAAGCTTTTAAAAGAGAATGTCGAACGAACCCGATCGTCCAACTTTGCTGAATCTTTTTCAGACGCTTGATCGCCGTCGAAAAAAAAGCTTTAAGCCGCTTAATGTCGTTCGTTTTTGTTCTGGAGTAACAGCAGATCTGTACTACCGTACACCCAAATTTTTCAGGGTGTAGCTGTTTGGTGCATGTTTGTTTATAAACGAATGATGCTGAGCTGTCAATAGCTCGCACTTGTTGGCGCTCAGTGTTAGGTACACCTCGAGAACGGAATCGGTGTAAGAGAATAAAAGCTGCCATCGCCAGTCAAGATCAAGGTGGGACTGATTAGCATTTTCGAATTATATTGAGCAAGTTGGACTGAGAAAGAGTGTGAACTTGTGCATATGCAATTAAATTAAAATAAGATATATAATTTGATTTTTCCCGGTTTTGTTTCGGAATTCCCGGTTTTCCCGGTCCATTTCAAATTCCCGGCTTTTTCCCGGTTTTCCCGGTTCTGCGATTTGCAAGGATTACTTACTGTTCACAGCTCAAACTCTGAAGCTGATTGTACGCTAGGTTCACCGAGAAGCTTTCCAACCGGAACTTCTAGCGCTCAAGAAAAGAAATGATACTAAGCGCTATTTGTTTTCCGTGCTGAGCACCAATGCTATGGACGCCAGGGAGGCAGCTCCCACACCTGGACCCTACCTATCGACCCATCAACTCATGAACCGAGGACCAACGGCTTTACTTCCATTCCAAAGGAAGGGAAGGCGTGATCAGAGACGTTATGCCTCAGAACATCCCGGCGGCGCCGACTGGGATTGAACCCAGGCCTGCTGGGGTGAATATTCGTGATTATGCCAATGGCAATGGAGGTACGCATGTCGCGAGCTTGGATACCCTCCTCGCTTAATTTTCGCGATCGGAAGGGGAGTATATATTATGATGGGAAAAAATGCTTCCTAGCGGTGCCGTTGGTGTAGTGGCCTGGGTTCAATCCCAGTCGGCGTTGCCGGGTTGTTCTGAAGCATACCATCTCTGATCACGCATTCACGCTTTCCTTCGGAAGGTAATTAAAGCCGTTGGTCCCCGGTTCATGAGTTGATGGGTTGATAGGTAGGGTCCAGGTGTGGGAGCTGCCTCCCTGGCGTCGGTAGCATTGGTGCTCAGCACGGAAAACAAGATCGACGAAAAACAAATCAAGGGAAAAAATAAATGCTTCCTGGAGGGATACGCAGAACCAATGACCATCTAATTTCAAGCATCGGAATATCGCGTATTACTTCTACAAGTTCGACATCGTGGACTACACCGAGCAGCAACGCATATTGGACGAAGAGGAGCCCAAGCGGAAGAAGACAGAAGTAAAACTCAAGTCGCCTCCCAGAAAAAATGAGAAGAACAACTTATGAATATTTGTATATTTTATTATTCTTATTTTTATGTTACTCGGCTCCATCGTTTTTTTTTAAATAATTGTAAAGTTCATACACGAATTGTGAAAAAAATATCGACTTTCAAAATGAGATCAAAATAATACAAAATTGTTCCATGTTCAGTATTTTAAAGAGTTTGAAATATTTTCAATGTCTACGGATATTTACGATTTTTACCAAACTTCAAAATATTCCAAGTCATCGTCGGAAATTGCCTATGTCCAAGATCTCCATTTATTTTCTTCAGCTTATAAGAATCTTGGAAACTTTGGGTGAAGTCTTTAGTATTCACGTCTCTCACGCAGCAGATCACAACTTCAAATCTCATCCCGGACAAGTCACGAATGACCTTAAAAGTTTTCGAGTGACTACAACAATAAAAAATACATAGGGTTGCAAAAGAATTAGTTTTCAGAACTTGCTAGAACTTGGAAGCTGTCAGCAATAGCAAGGATGTGCTAGAAAATAAATAATGCAAGTAAGTAAAACGGTAAAACGTTGTAACCATTGTATGTAGTCTACTTTTGCTTGATGAAATAAATAATTCATCACCAACAATTGAAAAGGCCTCAACTCCTTTTTGTAAACAAACCTCGTAAGAGCATTTTCCCCCCTACCTGTTCATTTTGTTGGTTTGCGTTGATGGACTTCGGTTCGCTACAAAATGGCCTTACAAGGTTTGTTTACAAAATGGAGTTGAGACCTTTTCAATTGTTGGTTTTGAAAGTGCTAAATATGCAATGGTACGAGGTCAACAAAAGTTCAGATTGTTCCAATAAAAAGAGCTCAACCCTCCCACCAATGGATCAATGAAAATGCTGAGGTTTTGACAGAACTGTGCTGTGGCTGCCACAGTATTTTACATTTGATCGTCCATGTACAGTAGCGCCAAAAGCATGCTTGTGGTGGGTTCAAAACTTGACCATCCAAATTGATCAATTGATCATTTTAGATGGTCAAGTTTTGAAACCACCACAGCATGCTTTTGGCGCTACTGTATATGGACGATCAAATGTAAAATACTGTGGTAGCCACAGCATAGTTCTGTCAAAAACTCAGCATTTTCATTGATCCATTGTTGCCAGCAATTATTGAAGTTGAAAAAATAAACTGATCTGACACCACTCAGATAAAAACATGATGGATTAAGATTGACAGAACGGTGGATGGCCCGTTTCGGTTTAAGCTTTCGTATGCTAGCAATGTTGTGTCGTTTGTTTGGATGTTGGCGTCCAGTGTACGTTACGCAATACGTTCGAATGTTTTTGTTTGGGGGAGTCAGGACATACTTGATACCCTGGTATAATTTTGGACATAAGTATCTCGGAGGAAAAATCCTAAAATTGATGCGGTTTTCGCCCAGGCTCTTCGGAAAATATCTTAGGGGTAAAAGGGGCATAGTGAGCATCCCGTGCACCAGCTTTGACTACCGGCCGTTCGGAACACATTTATTGGTGGTAGGATCAATATCATAATGATATTGATCCTACTACCAGTTGATTTGTTTCATGCAGCTAGGGATCCAGGGCCAAACTGCGAGATGCTCACTATGCCCCACCTGTTCACTATTCCATTCCTCCCTCTATGTAAATTTATAAATATTCTAAAACCTCCAAAGTGATATATAAATTCTTAAAAGTTCGTTTCTTCTGAAAGATATTCTTACTTGATCCCCTTTTGATGACATTTTTATACCCCGTACAGACTATGGCTTATATCATGTAACATAGGCTGTTATAGGCAAGACAGCCTATATTACATTATATAAGCCATGTATTAAGTGGTTGTGAACTCAAGGACCCATCCTATGATTTTTTTTAAATACTATCGAGTCTCTGACATGATATATACTTAGCGTTCAGAATCATAAGGGCCTAACTGCGATGATCGATTCTCTTCATCGATTTTCTCTTCGAATTACCATGGTTGGAAACTAACGATTTTAAATTGTCTCATTACTTGACAAGCCTATTCGTCCCAAGCAAATCGATTAACGTACCCCATTCTAATCTAAATTCTAGTACTACACTATTTTTGTTTTAATTCGCTATGCAATTTTAACAGATAAAATGAGGGGTTCGTGGATTTTCCTATGCTTTGAGGGGTGAATCGATTAGCTTGGGACCGAAGAGAGTACCAGAGCTGAGCCAAGAAGCTGAGCACGTTTCTTCGGGACCTACTAGTCTTAGAGCTACCTCTGCCTATTGTGTTACCAAATGCTGCAACATGGCTATATCGATATACTCACAAATTATTTCTCAAATATCACTTACTTCGTACTACAATTGTAGAAATTTGAAGAGATTGAAGTGCCTATTAATTTTGGTACTCGGAAATTAAATCTGTGGTAGGGAAAACACATCAATCACAGAATCTGAGCATACCGGACGGTACCTACGTTTATGCTTATCGATGCAAATTTTAAGCTCCTCTTATTAAGAACATTGATCATTATTTTAATTATCGTAGTAACAGTTGTATATTCGTGCAATTTTCAATAGTTACCTTTTGAAAATTGATAGTCTAAATTATAACTGTTTCGTAGAATTCCCTATTGATTTGCTTGCGTATTAAGAATCAAAATTCATCATCTCTGGATCAAAATCAGACCACTTTTATGCCGCGACCGACTTTGGTTTTTGAAATTGTACCCCCAAAGTTGCCTTAAAAATACATGTTATGATAGATTTATAATTATGGGAACTAACATCCGATTGATGACCTTGACAAGTCTCGCGTCACTTTTCAAATAGACCAATCTATATTGATCGATTCTCTTCATCGACTCTCTCTTTCGTTGATAACTTGGCTGCATTCAAGAAACTATTATTAAGCGTATTAGACGATAATGACAGCTGAACATGTTTTTGGAGCCGAGTTATTTACGAAAGAGAGAGTAGATGAATAGAATCGATCAATGTAGATTGGTCTATTTGAAAATACTATTTAACAAATTTATGGTAGTCCTGAAAATGCCCGTTTTGTCGTGATGTTTGAGTAATGCTGAGTTATTAAGGTGTTTAACACAGATAAGGCAGACGAGCTCTATGTTGTTTGGAACAGTGACGCGCTTGGCATAGATGGCCAACAACGGCTCATGACGAGAAACTGAAATCCGATTAGTAGCGGTGCAACGTCTTCCTCAATCTTAGGCGAATGGACCGCTCAGTGGGCTGCATCTCACACTTGCGATCAGCCTTTGGTCGTGTGCTGGAGAACAATCTACAACGCCACGTGCCGAAAGCACTGCTGCTGCTGCTGCTGATGATGACCACTGGACACCACAACTCACACCACGCGGTGATTGAATGCACACCGTTCGGTGAGACCAGAGTTAATTCGATTTTTAAATCTGTGTTAGGGAAAGCGCTTTTCGCAGTCAATCGGTGATAGTTTGCATTATTACAGCAACATTCGTGCAGTTTTCAATAGTGATCTCTTGAAAATGGATGAAAAGTTCATTTTAGCAGATTCGTAGATAACATTCCAATCAATTGGCTTGTTAAGAATTCATATCCATTCGCTATTGACAGAGTTATAAGTGGTCAACACCTGACCACTTTTCGAAACGCGATCGATTTTGGTTTATTGAAATTGCACCCTCAATATGTTCCCGAAAGACGTAATCCTACGTCAAAAGGAGATTTCCAACTGGCTGAATTTCCTCAATTGAAAGGGGAACATATTCTACTAGCAAGGTAACAAAAATGTGTGTTTCCTTTGTAAGATGGAGGGGCATCGGATGAATTCCTGCACCAAGCGGAAGGAACGAAAACAGCTAGTACAACAACGAACGGAAGAAGAAAACCAACAACAGAATGAGGAAAAGTACGCTGGTTTAGTAGAAGTGGTTGATGTCCTGGAAGAAGAGGTGGTGGTGATGGATGTGACGTCTCTGGACGCCCAGAAGAACAGTGTAGAGGGAGCAAGCGCTGCTGAAAAACAGCAGCCGCCTGTTTTCAAGTGCAAAACAATGCGTATTACTACTACAAATTCGGGATAGTGGACTATACCGAGAAGGAGCGGATGAAGGATGAAGAGGAGGCCAAGCGGATGCTATTGCTGAAGGAAAAAGAATTGGAAGAAGCAAGGGAGTTGAGAGCACGGATGAAAGCGGATGCTAAACTCAAGTCACCTCCCAAAAACAAAACAAGAATTTGGAATGGTAACGGTTCTTAACAACCCATTATTTGTAAGGTTCACTTCCAAAAAACCTGAATACATAAGGTTAAAACTTTATCACACAAACGTCCATGAGTTCCATAATCATTTCAGTTAAAGTTTAGCAGGGATTATAAACAATTTTTAACCATTTTCGGTAAGGTCAAGTAATGGTTCGCATTCTCATTCTCAAAATAAATATTTCCTAAGCCCCACTCCAATCAGAAAAAAAAAATCGGGAATTCCTATTAGGGGCGGGACTTAAGAAGCATTTTTTTTTGTTTTTGAGTATGCATAAAAGGAGGAACTTACAATTCTAAATCTAAAATCTCTAATCTAAAAGGTGCTAAAAGCATACATAAGTATACCGTCCGGTTTTTTCAGTGCTATGTACTGAATTCTGAAATCTGTGGTAGGGAAATCACTATTTTTCACCACAGAAACTCCCCGTTTTCTTATAAGCAAAAGCAAGTGTTCGTCAATTTTTTGCTCAATCGATAGATAAACGATGTACCGATGACCAATGATTGATTGCAGGGATTTCTCGTTAAAATGTTCTGATCACGAGATATGAGCGATCAGTTGCACAACTTCGCTAACAATAGGTGCAGAATTGTGGTAAAAATAGGTGTCCTGAACTAAGTCCTACCTTAAGTGTGTCTAATCCTTGGGGAATCAAGTCTCCCCTAACTGAGTTTCCAACTTCAAATCAAACTGAACACAGGATCAAAAGAAATATCACCAATTCAATGATTAATTCTACTTATTCAAAGCTTTGGCCTGGATAAAATCTCTTCTGGATTTCGAGAACACGGTGTGGGGTGGATAGAGTCCAGTTGATGGTGGTTGTGTTTTTAAAAATCAGTGCTTATGGTGATCATACACAGTAAGTGCTTATGGTGATCATACACAGTAAGTGGTTTTGCATATGTGGAACGTGTCGGTGATAACTACGTCAACGTTCAAAATGAAGGTGAGATTCGTATGATACGGTGCGCGTGTGCCGTTTGGAATGCTGCCAATTATATAAAAGACCATTATTCCATATTTCCTAATATACGTAGTATGGTAATGGGAGACGGGGGGGTGTATTTCACTATCCCTACACAGACAATATTTTTGGTAAAAAAAAAACAGCTACACAACCTCTTGCAACTGACAAACCCGGGAAGTCGACAGAGTCGGCCTGAAGTTGAGGAATATGTCCTCCAGTGATGTTTCGTTGATTGAAAAACTATTTATAAGGCCATTGTAGTCCACTTTCAGGGCGTTCATCTCCCGGAAAAGTTCAGAAAGTCTTACCGGGTCCGGAATGAGGAATTTCAACATACCCTGAAAACGAAACGAGATACAGTCATTCGTGTTAGGCACTCTTAAACAGTGGCGAACTCAACTTACATCGTGCTCCTCCTTCAGTTCACATCCGAAGCGCTGTTGGATTTCCTTTATCAAATCGCAACTTGCCTGGGACTCTCCGTCGTTGAGCTTGAGCAACAGGTTGAATCCTTTGCCGTACTTTTCCTTCAATCGCTGGATGAACCCTATGCAACGCAGTTGCCCACCGACCATGATCGATAACCGATTGCACAACTCCTCGCACTCGTCCATGCTGTGCGAGGTCAGAATGATGGTTTGGTCCTGTCTCTGGAGTGCCTTTATCCGGCTCCACACAAAGTGGCGTGATTTGGGATCGACTCCTGTCGTGGGTTCATCCAGGAACACAATCGACGGATTGCCCAGCATGGCTAGAATCGTGTTGACTTTTCGTTTCGTTCCACCGGAACATTCGTTAATTCGGCTGTGGGCGAATGGAAGAATGTCCAAATCCGTCAACCACAGACTGATTAGATGATCTATGTTCGGCACATTCTTAACCATTGCACTGTATCGGATCAGCTCGTACGGGGTCATGAAGTCCAACAGAGCGTCCCCCTGGGGACAGTAGCCGAACTGGGACCGGTAGTCTCGTTCTACTGAACGTTTTACGTCCCGTTCGTTCAGGTAGATCGTCCCATCCGAGATCGGGAGATTTCGAGTGATCATCTGGAACGTACTGGTCTTACCGGCTCCGTTCATACCTGGGAAGAAAAATGAGAATGACTTGTAGATTAAAGGCAGCTCAATGTGTGTGTTTTTTTTACTAAAAATGGAAAGGTGCTCTATGAAGTATTCGAATTCTGGATCGCTTCAAAATAACTTTTTGAATTGCTCATTAAAAAGCATTACGGTTCCCTCGTACTACATTTATCCTCACCGCTTAACTCTGTTCTGCGCCCATACACTTACCTAACAATCCAAAGCATTCGCCTCGCTTCACAGCAAAGCTCACTCCCTTGACCGCCGGCAGGTCCAGGTAACTCTTCTTCAAACTATGAACCGCAATTGTATGCGAAGCAAAATCCGGCGGTTCCTTCGAAACCATATCGCACACCATCTTGGACTCCGCATCCACATCGTCGTCCACTTCCGCGGCCATCATTTCGTAGTTGGAATCCGGTTGATCAATCCCTTTCCTGCGTTGTCTTCTGCAGTATTTCTTTAAGAGCTTGCCGCTTCGCACCTTTCGCTCCACTATCACTCCCTTCCGGTAGATGTTCTCCACCACTTCATTAAGCATCAACATCAGAGCGATCATCATCAACGGCATCATGCAGTACGCGTAGGTCAGATTCAGTCGCGAAATGACCGAAGTGGTACGAGTGTCCATCGCATTCTCGTTCAGCAGAGCTTGGATTTTTGTCAACTTTTGATTCTCGTAAATCACCCGCAGCGAGTGTTTCAGGCCGAATTCCGGAACCACATGAAACAGGAATATCAGAGCATCATTATCGTTAATATGATCATACCCATCGGAGAGAAGGAACACTCCGCAAACTCCGAAGATCATAAGATAGCTCATGAAGGTAACGGCCGTATCCATTTTGTCTACGCACTGACTGATGATGTAGATCATCGGTAAGGCCGCGATCCCGTACAGCAGCAGGATGGTGAGAATCTGACGATGCTCGGTGCTGGTGAAGAGCCTATCACGATCCAAACCGTAAGCGAACATGAACACCAGAAGACAGATTATGACGTGGAGCAGAAAGTCTACCAAAAATGAACCACTCCAGTACACGTAACGATGGATGTTCTGAAGCTGCTTGAATCCGGTGGATGCCTCGAGATAAGGAAGCTGCAGAAATTGCAAGACGTAGAGCATGAATACTGCAAAGACGGGGAATTTGTTAGACATTCACTGATTAAGTAAGGGTGAAACAATGACCTACCTATAGCGATCGCCTCGGTGAAGACGTACGGCGTGATCGAGTCCAGCTGCATCCTTCTCGTCGAAGGGCTGTTCTTCACCATCACTTCAGCCTCCGGATAGCCGTAGTAGTGCAGAAGCAAATTGCTTCCAATGTTAGCGGCAATCCCAGCGCTGTGCAATAGATTATTATTGTGCAGCATCTTCAGACTTCGTTCGGATACGTTGAACTCGATGGCCGCTATCAACCGATGGCGATAGCGCATCTCATCTCGCCGCGCTTCCTGTACTAGATAGTCTTCGATGTTCTGCTCCTCCAGCATGATCAGGTCCAGCTCCCGAAAGTAGGTTTGGTTCTTGATCGCGGCAAAGTCGATCGGCCGATCGTTACCGTTCAAGATGATCACCGCGAAGGCTCCGGCTACGGTGGAATGGTGCAACTTGACGATGCCGTAGTCGGTTTTCGTGTAACCTCCACTTAGGACAAAGCACAGGACTGCCGTTGCGATCGGAAGCACCGACATGAAGCCGTAGATGTGAAGGTTTCTCCGTATGTGAAGGTATTTCTTGTACGCGATCGCTTTGTACTGAGACACCAGTTGTAGCTTTAGGAGCAAGCTTTCGCGTGGTTTCGTCGACTGAATGTCATTGACTTCGGAGCGTTCATATCGGCTGGGTGAATCGACGACATCGATGCTCCGTGCATGTTCCAGGGCCTTGTTGCTCGAGGATGAACTGGGCAATAGGAGGGTGATTAGACGTTTGTTTTGGGCAATGATTCACATTTTTGCTAAAGTTCGGCCATCTTGTAAAATTTTCAAAATGGCGTCTGTGACGAAGTTGTAGAGAAAAATTATGTCTTTCTGGGAAAACTTAACAAAAAAATGTTTGTTTTTTAATTTATTTTAAGTAAAAAATTTCCCGATTCGCCCGATTTTTTAAATTAAATTTCCAAAAATAAAGCTTATGTAAAATTCAAACTTTTGGAATGATCAAAACTATGGACACTTGAGAACTGACCAAATTCGTAGAACAAGAAATTTTGGTATTCATTTCACAAATAAATAATTTGAAATGCCTCAAACATTGTTTTCTGAGTATGAATTTTATGAAAAAAACGTTTAAACCTGAAGTTCAAAAATTTGACCAAAAGTTCCTAATCTACGATTTTTGTCAATTTTCAAGTTTTCAAAATTTTGCTTTTTTCATAAGCTATTAAAAAAATTAAAAAATTGGGCAAAGATATTAAGGTTTTTCAACTTTATTAAATTTAGTTGAAATTACTAAACACATTTTGTAGTTTTTTTTTCTCAAAAAAATTTTCCCTGCCCTTTGGTTAAGTTGGTGAGATTGTTTTCTTTTTTTTTCTTTTTTAATATTGCGCATATATGTACATTTACAAAACAATGCTGGGATTGGGAGGGATCATCATCGATTGAAGCGATTTGGACGGGGAGAGTGAGAATGCCAACTCCCTGTAGAGCACATTTCGTTGATAAAAGGCGGGCTCTTTTCTCCACTCATTGTTGCATTTTTCTGTTTGGGGGCTCGTCTTTTTGACCAATTGTGCGATCATGTTGCTGGAAGGAGATTCTTTACTGTCCCGTATATTCGCATAGGGGACTTTGCCTATCGATCCACCCAATCCGTTTTTGGCCCTTCATACAGCGACATGTTAAGGACAATCAGAGGTTATTAAGCTTGATCAAGAATCAACACAAACAGTGAAGAGAGCCCACTGTTCTTGGACTTAGTTTCTGTGCTACAATTGCTGGTAGACCACTATCATCATGCGTCATGCATATTTTTCCCAGAAAATTTTACAAGATCCAAAATGGACGAATTTCAACAAATGTCCTTGAAACTTTCCTTATAATTCCTTTGAAATATTTCTCAGAACTTTCATTGAATTCGTTTCAGAATTCCCTTTAGATTATCCTGCTTTTGTTGGGATTATACTCACAATAACTTTGGAGTTCTCCTTACAAATGGCTCAGAATTCTCCTCAAAATTACTTCGCAATTTTAGTTAGAGCTCTCTTGGAATTCCCTTTGGAATCCTCCTCAGAATTCTGTTGAAAATTTACTTTGAATCCTACTCAGAATTCTCTTGGAATTCTTCTCAGAACTACTTTGAAATTCTCCTTACGTTTCACCAGGAAGCAGGAGTTCAAGAAAACTAACATGAAAGGAAACCTCAAATATCACTGAAAGTTTGCCTAACAATACGTCCCTTGTAGTTATTCTCTGAACTCCGAGTTCATTGAAAATTATCATCAAATTCATTAATTAAAGTCCATAAGCTGTGACACTTTTGCAAGTCCCTATCAAAAAATCTGGGTTTTTGAAAATATTAAATGTCCAACGTCTTGAATATTTATTTCTCTTCCAGATTCTTGAAAATGTCTCCAAGTCTGATTTTATTAGGTCCAGAGTGTAGAAAAAAAACTGTCGATTCTTATTTTTAAATATAGCTTGATACGAGAATTTCAAAATTCCCTGGGAAATCCAGGTAAAATAAAATTCCCTGAGGATTCCAGGTTTTTCAAGGCAGTGACAACCTGCTTAGGAATAAGCTTCAGAAATTCCTATGAATTTTCATTAAAATTTCCTTCGACTCCTATTCAGGGTTTACTTGGAATTCTACTCAAAACTACCTTGGTACCTCAAGTTTCACATAAAATCTGGGGTTCGTTAGAACTACATTGACAGATTGTCAAGTACAAAGGCAAATTTACCCATCGCTGAGTTCCTGCACTATTGGCGATTATGAGTAAACTAAACTCAAATTTGGTTCGTTCTCATGAACCGTGTATGTTGTACCTCTGGATACTCCGGAATCATGTTGAAAGAATTTTCGTTTAGCATAAATCCCAACTACCTACATTATTTAGTGCGTTTGCTACTTACTTCAAAAACACCTCCTCCAACGTCGCATTCGACACGCTGATCGAATCGATGCCGTACGCTTCCTTCCCATCCTCCAGTTCCTGCAGCAGCGGAGCGTACTGTTCCAAACAGATGTACGGTAACGTAACGGCAAACACCGGTTCTACGGCCGGTTTCTCAACCGCACCACTGATGTGCTCGCTTATCTTATCCATTAGTTTGACCCGGTCGAACGTCGCCGTTTTCAGCAGCTTCAACGTATAACCCTTGCCATAGTAGTGCTTGAGGAAAATAGACGTACCAAACGCGATCAGCTCTCCATTTTCCATGATTGCAATCCAATCTCCCAGGACGTCGGCTTCCTCCATGAAATGCGTGGTTATCAGAATAGTGTGATCTTTCTTCAGCTTTAACAGAATGTCCCAGATGTCTCGTCTCGACTCGGGATCCAACCCGGACGTGGGTTCATCAAGGATCAAAAGTTTCGTTCGTCCGATGATCGCGTTGGCCAAGCACATTCTTCGTTTCATTCCCCCAGAGAGGTTTGCCAGTATTTCGTCGCTTTTGTCCGTTAGGTTGACCTTTTCCAGGATCTGATCCGCCTCATGTTCTGCTTCCTTCATGCTCATTCCCCGAAGGGCTCCAAAGAAAACCAAATGCTCGCGACAGTTCATGTACCCCAAGGCGACGTTATGCTGCGGACAGAAACCAATCTGCTGGCGATAGTTGGCGGAATTGTCCTCTCCATCCACCTCGATCCGTCCGGACGTACGGGGCGTCATTCCGGTAATTATGTTCATGGTAGTAGTCTTCCCGGCTCCGTTATGCCCGAGCAATGCGGTGATTCTGTTTTTGTAAATCCTCAGCGATAGATCTCGGACGGCAACTCGTGTCCCAAACGATGTTTTGAAAATTTTGTTCAGGTTTGTGATTTTCACTACCTTCTCGAGATGATCACCATTTTCCATGGCACCCCTGGTGGAACCTCCGCTATCGTCTGCGATGCTCATGGTAGGGTCATGGTTATGCGTGTTGTTGATCTTGTTTTTACCTTTTTGATAATACTGTTTCGAGAATAGAAACGTCCACGACTTCGGCGTTCCATACTGCCCGGGGCGCACGTTCGTCAGGTAGAACCAAAGAAAGATCCACAGGACTGTTCCAAACATAAGCATGGCCATAACGCCAAACAGACTCATGTTTTCATTCCCCGGATAACCGGACCGAAAGGCATCGACCGCCCTAAAGCTATGCCAGCTGTTTTGATAATCATGCAGAACCGATACTCCCACTTTGAACCCGGCCATGGGAAATACGGTCAGCAGTAGTTCGAACCGCTTCTGGGCCGAAGCAATCACGACCGGAACAAAGTAGCAGATCGGTGCCACAATCGTCGAAATTGTCACCGATTCCAGCAAGGCGCTGATGAAGAACGTGAAGCTTATCGAACAGATCACAAACAGAAATAGTAACACAGAGACGTTCACCATCTGCGCTGCAGTCACTTCCCAAATGTTGGCGAAGACTGTAATCAGCATGCACAGAACCACAATCAAGGTCAGGTGAAGGAAGTTGGTCACAAAAATGGCTATTTCGTTCCAATAGCTACACGATGTCGCAATTTTCAAGTATTCCTTCATTCCGGAGGCCTTCTCTTCTACCAGGGGAACCAAGAGCAGATAAGTACACGCCACGGACACGAACACTGCCAGCAAGATATTTATAACAAAAATTTCCGACGACTCCTGGGGCCTTCCTCCCGCCACTGGGATGTGCTCATAGTAGAACTCCGGAAGCGCATCATTGGACAGGCCGGTGCGCATCTGCACAAAGGATTTCTCAATCCCGTACTGCAACGCCAGAAAACCGCTCTCGAAGTACTCGTTCCGATCCTTCAGGTAACTGGTGTATACATCCCGGGAGTATACTTCGTCGGTGCGAAAGTTGTTATTCTTGCTACGGATCGTGTAGGACAGGTACGCTGTGGACGAGTTGCGATCGAATGCGATGGCGTAAAAGTCCTGTTGAAACAGCAGCGCCTGTTCCATATCGGCAACCGTCGCGAAGAGCTCCACCTCTGTTGATTGCAAATGGTTGACCTAAGGCAAGGAATCTTCGGCCATTACAATTGTACTTACGCGTATAGGTGATGAACAGCTTCTGGCGGACCAGCTCGATAAGATCATTGGTAAAGTTATTGTCCGGAGCGTACAGGAGTTTGTTATAGCTACCGGTTGGATACGCACTGACGACGTCGTCCTGAAAAGAATGGAAAATGTTACTTTATCGTACAATAAAAGGCAGGGTCTTCAAATTCCAGCGATGCTTGAATACCAATTTACTACATCTAATTCCAATCACAACAGTAGCTACATCAGGACTCAACAGAACTAATCCCAATATCTAGAGACAAACAATTTGAAATTTCACGAATATAGAAACTTCTGTAACACCTCAAACATGGACAAATTTTTATAATCCTGGGACATACAAGTTATCACCAGTCGACCCGACCACAGACCACCGATTACAGTTACCAACAGCACTATTATACATAGCGGAGCACAATAGCAACATTGTAATCAATTACCATAATTGTTATAGGCTATGAATGTTGTGTCTTCGAATTCCTTTCATTATCATACAAACATAAGCCATATAGCATAGCTGTTAAGATGAAATAAATCAGTTCTAGTTAGACCACAGAACAAGTACGTTCTTCTAATCCGAATTCCTTTTATTTTAAACGTTAACTTAACCCTAAAGTGTGTAACTTACATAACTTTTTTAGCTCGCAGTCTAAGAAAAGATTCTCATTATTCTCACTCATTATTCAACGAGGAAAATTTATCAAGATTTTCTCGCTACGAAAGATTACGAACAGTGAATAGGGACATCGGGATTGACAGGCACTTCTGGATCATTCGGTACAGCTATGGCATCTTGAACCTCATCGCGCAGGATTCCGCGATCGATTACCCTGGGACATCAGAATTGTGACGAGGGCGCATTTGATCTTCCGTATATCTTCAGGGAAACGATATAGTTGACAGAACCTTTCCGTTCGATGACTCGACCAGGAATCAAGGACTTGGAATTCCTGTAATGCTATAGACCAGGTCATCTTCTTCGAAGTTGCGCTTGACTGCTTCATCCCGACGACCTCTTTGGGGACCGGCTGGAGCACGTTATTTTACCCATCTCGATTTATCTGATTCCTACCTACAAGTCGAGGTCGAGGAATCGCGATAGCTACTCACGGTCAACACGCATCGTGGACTGTTCCAGTATAACCGACTACCCCCTGGAGCCAAGTCGGCATCCGGCACTTTCCAGTGCTTCATCGACAGCATGGTGGCCGGCATTCCCGGAGTCAAGCCGTATCTGGATGACATCCTCATCGCTGGTCACACCAAGCAGGAACACGATCGCAGTCTCTACGCTGTTCTCGAGCAGATACGTGAGTATGGTTTTCACCTACGCCTCGAAAAATGTCGTTTCACACTCTCCTTCGGACACACGGTGCTGTCAACTACTGTGGTAGATTCGTGAAGCAGATGAAGCAACTCCTCAAGAAGGATGTACGCTGGAACTGAACCAAGAATTGCCAGAAATCTTTCGAGCAATTTAAGACAATTATACTTTCCGACCTTCTGCTTACACACAACGTCTAAGGAGATCATTGTTGCAGCAGATGCATCGAAGTAGGTCTTGGCGCTGTCATCATGCGTCGATATCCGACCGGTGAAGTGAAGGCAATCGCTCATGCCTCTCGCTCACTGACCCCAGCAGAGATGAACTACAGACAAGCGGAAAAGAAAGCATTGGCCCTTGTTGGTACTTTAACGCCCCTCTGGCATTAAGACAACCTACGAAGAATACAGAAACCATCATACATTTTTTTTTATACACATCCACACATGTAACCGATTATTAGTTCAGAGTAAAATTGTCTGTTGAATCATTAACACGCGTTCTTTTGATTTCGTCCGAAGAAATTTTATTCCACTGAAACCGAAACTCTTTCGTTACAGTCCATTTCCCGCGATTGCAAGGACATTAGTGGTCCTTCGAACCGGATTAGTTTCGGTTTTTCGATCAATTGTTCCAATAACAGTTGAATTTCGCGAAAAAAGTGAATCGGAAACGCTACCGGCGTGCAGTAGAGGCTCACGCAGCCGAAGAAAAATGACGCCATTACTGGAGGCGAATTACGCAGTTGCCGTCGGGTCGAGTGTTTGCAGCTCTTGAATGCGCTAGTGCTAATGCTAGCTGCATATTCATTGAAAAAACGAATAATCGATTGCTAATTAAGTGCTATTTCGCGGAAGTTGACAATCATACGGATTGTATTCGATTGGTGAAAACATCACAACGTCGAACATGCTATCGTGCTTGTGGTGATAAAAAATGGCCGCTAACAGCGAAGAGTGAAAAAGGCATAGTGTTTTTCACAAGTAACGAGCTGCCCCCCCAAGTGGAACGCAAATGTTGAAGATTCAGGGCGGTATTCAGTGACGAATTGTTACCGCATTATTGGTGCGGAAATGAATAAGCACGATGAGCATGGTACGTACACCGATCGTGACGAGAAGTGCGAAAGATAAAAACACTGGTGATGAAAATTCCGCCGATGAAAGTGTTACGCCAATGAAAGAAAACAACCAGAACGGTGAACCAGTGCCGATCAGTGAACAGAAGAAAAAGAAAAAGGAAAATGAGGCGAAGAAGAAGATGGCTGCTGAATATAGAGTGCTACAAAATCAGCTGAGTGCATTACGTAGGAAGCTGGAGCGAGTGAGATCAGCGATGGAAACTGACACCGACGACTACAATCAGAGCCTGGAGTGCAAACAATTTTTGCAGCTTCAGCTAAAGGTTGTGGAAAGTGTAAATGCTGACTACAACGTCCAACAGCAACGAGCTCACGGCCTTAACATCAGCAATGAAGATCGTGATGGGCTGGAGACAGCTTGTATCGAATTTGAGCAGCTTTACGGTGAGTTGTATATTGTCCTTACTAAATTGTTGGAAACTTCCTTGAAAAAGGAGGAACCGTCGGTTGGGATCCCCGCTCCACCAACTGTGAACGTGTCCCAGCTGCCACCGTTGAAGGTGCCGCTGCCATCGTTTGATGGATCGTACGAGAATTGGTACGCGTTTAAATCAATGTTTACGACAATCATGTCCCGCTACAACTCGGAGTCCCCTGCAATAAAACTGTATCATCTCCGGAACTCGTTGACTGCAAGGGCTGCGGGAATCATTGATCAGGAGATCATTAATAACAACGATTACGACGCAGCTTGGGCGACACTGACAACTGATATGCGGAAACTGCTGGATACATGTACGAAGAACGTGGACGCCTTGAAAAATCTGGGACTACCTGTTTCTGGACTCGGCGAAAGAATGTTAGTGAACCGCATCGCCCTCAAGCTCGACATCGAAACTCGCAAGGCTTGGGAGCTCAAACAAGTTTCGGATACACTACCCAGCTACGAATTGACGTTGGACTTTCTGCGCGAAAGGTGCCGAGTACTCGAGAAGATCCGTCCTTTCTCTAAACCATCCATCAAGCCATCAACGAGACTCCTGCTGCGAAAACCTGTAGAATCAAAGGTACGTGCAAGTTCCTTAGTCACCACAGCCAATGCATGTCCGCATTGTTCTGCGAGTCACGAACTGTGGAAATGTGAAACCTTCAAGAAGGCGAGCCTGTCCGATCGGTATGATACACTCCGACGAGCTGGTGCATGCTTCAACTGCCTGCAGAAGGGACATCGCACGACAGACTGTTCATCGAAGCATTCATGTAAAAAATGCAACAAACGTCATCACACCACGTTGCATCCAGCAGATAGTCAGCAGAAGAAATCAGATGATTCTCCAGGTGGAAGTTCGCAATCAAAACCCGACAAGAAATCTGCAACATCGCAACCGGATGAACAAGAGACCGAATCCAACGGTGCAGTAGAACAATCCACGTTTTGTGTTCAACCAAAGGCATCAGGGAAGCAAGTTCTGCTATCTACAGCGGTAGTCCTCGTTTACGGAAAGGGTGACGTGTACCCTTGTCGGGTTCTCTTGGATTCTGGTTCCCACTCGAATTTCATTTCGGAACACTTCGCAACATTATTGTCGTTGAACAAGGAGCCCGCTAACGTTTCAATTACCGGTCTGAATGATATTCACACGAAGGTTCGACGGAAGATTTATACGAAAATCAAATCTCGTATAAGTGATTTTTCGGTGTGTCTTGAATTCTTCATCGTACCCAGGATTACAGGACAACTACCTTTGACGAAAGTAGATTGCACCGATCTTGCGCTACCGACAGACATTCAACTAGCCGACCCGAATTTCAGTATCCTTGATCGAGTGGACATGCTGCTGGGAGCTGAAGTATTTTTCGAAATGTTGAAGACAGATCGCATGAAGATTCCACACACTATTGCAGTTCTTCAAGATACCCAATTCGGCTGGGTGTTGAGCGGTCCGATCCCAAGCAAGGTGCCAGAGAAACTGCAATCGTTCTTCGTTACTGCTGAAGAAAATCTCAACGAAATAGTGCGAAGATTCTGGCAGATTGAATCGTGTGGTGACATGGATGAGAAGACCACGGCATCTGACGAACTTTGTATGGATCACTTTCGTGAAACACACAAGCGTACCGACGATGGAAGGTACGTCGTCCGACTACCATTCAACGAGTTGAAAGACCAGTTGGGCGATTCCAGGATCCTGGCAGAAAAACGATTCCTCGCTCTAGAGAAGCGATTGGACAGCAAACCGGAGGTAAAGGCGCAGTACATTTCCTTCCTGAGAGAATACGAGATGCTTGGTCACATGTCAGTGGACGAAGCTGCTGACACCGTCGATCCTCAATCTGTGTACTATTTGCCTCATCATTACGTTTTGAAACCAACCAGCACAACCACTCGACTTCGCGTTGTGTTCGATGGTTCAGCACCGACCGACACTGGAATTAGCATCAACCAGACCCAAATGGTGGGTCCAACGGTGCAGAATGATATAATTTCGATTTTGCTGGACTTTCGTTCGTACAAATTCGTCTTCACTGCAGACGCCCCGAAAATGTATCGGCAGGTGAGAATGCACGACGATGATATCCGTTACCAAAGTATGTTCTGGCGCGAAGATCCAAGCGAGACGATTCGTGTCTACAATCTACGAACCGTTACGTACGGAATTGCTTCATCACCGTTCTTGGCAACAATGGCGCTTCGCCAGCTCGC